CTGATCGACACCTTAACAAATCTTGTATTTGTAGATCTCTGATCGACACCTTAACAAATCTTGTATTTGTAGATCTCTGATCGACACCTTAACAAATCTTGTATTTGTAAGTGTAAAATCAACACCATCTTAATATTATAAGATAAAAAAACAATATGGGTTGGTTTAGTAGATGTTAAAATAAGAGTTCCTAACATGTTTTTAGTAGACGTTAAAATAAAGTTTCTTAACATGATTTAGTTGACGTTAAAATAAAGTTTAACATGATTTAGTTGACGTTCAAATAAAGTTTAACATGATTTAGTTGACGTTAAAATAAAGTTTCTTAACATGATTTAGTTGACGTGAAAATAAAGTTTCCTAACATGATTTAGTTGACGTTAAAATAAAGTTTATTAACATGATTTAGTTGACGTTAAAATAAAGTTTAACATGATTTAGTTGACGTTAAAATAAAGTTTCTTAACATGATTTAGTTGACGTTCAAATAAAGTTTAACATGATTTAGTTGACGTTCAAATAAAGTTTCTTAACATGATTTTTCTTCTCCAAAACCAAGTTTTCGACCGTATCTCTTCCTTTTTTTGTATATTTTTCATTTAATTAAATTATGATAAGTAAATATTATTTGTGAACGGTAAAAATAGATGTTTTCAAATCCACAGCGTAACGAGAAAGTATTTCCTGTTTTTTGATATGTTAACAAAATGCCTTCATAAATTCAAACATCCATTTAAAACCTGGGAAAAGTAAGGTTCAAGATAATAACATCTGAACATGGCTAAGGAGAAACATGATTGTAAGTTATTAAATATTAAGTAAGAAACGCTGCCATATTATCATAGATTCGTGTATGTTGACCCGTCAGTTATGTTATGTTATTTAGCAGTGAAATACTAGAGCAGGGGTGGCCAAACCCCGGCCCGCCTAACGTTTATAAAATTCACTGTATTACGGCCCACGCATGAAGATTCCTTGACCGAATGTGGACTGATTTTGCTGATCGAAGTGTCAAATGAAAGGTCCCTTCATTCTCTATTCACTGATGTAAAAATTATTATCCAAACGTCTCTTCCACCAGAGATAACTCGATTGACAAAAAATGATGAAATTTTTGTTTTTGGTCTCTAGAGAACACCTAATGGCGCAATATCAAAAGTAAAGTACATCATATAAAAGCCAAGAAAGTTTTCTATCTATTGATATAAGATTCTTTGTGACCACAACCAAATGAGAGCTATATCAGAGCATTGAAAAATACTAAGCTCAGGATGTCAGGGTGGCCACTTTTTTTTTTACCAGCACTTTATTTTAAACTTGAATGCGGCCCGGGTCGACTCCGGTAATCAAAATCTGGCCCGTGGCACAAAAAAGGTTGGCTACCCCTGTACTATAGGGAAGGCAGCTAGTCATCACCACATTATAACGCCCCCACGGCTGAAAGGGTGAGCATGTTTGGCGTGACGGAAAGTCGAACCCACGACCCGCAGATTGTGAGTCGAGCGCCCTAACCACCTGGTCGTGCCGGGCCTTGACCCGTCAGAGGCTTTACATAATCTAATAATGCTTCCGTCACTTAGCTTCTTTGATAACCAAAAGTAAAATAAAGCAACAAATAGATACTACATGGTCTTAATATTCGTTTGATGATCAGTATTCTACACATCTTTCTCCAAACTAGGTGTCGTTATTGTTATCTTCACAACCAATTGTTGCCTTGACTAAAACAGAAATCCAGCGTCTCTAAAGAAATCGCACAAATTTTGTATAAATTGATGTGTATATTTTTTTTCTTGTTGAAATAGCTGCGTGACCTCACGGTTTACTGGCCGATAAATAAATATATATTGTCTAATTATCTATGCGAGACTTGGTAAATGAATATTGAAGGACTACTGTGGCATCAAATGGTACACATCCTAAACCTTGCATCTACTTGATAAGATGCAGGACACATCGAGAAAATGGCGCTGTGACGGTAGGTTTAGAGCGTAGCTTCAGTTTTTTTTATATATACATTGTTTATTAATGTCATTGTTTTATGTGGGTTCTTTCAGGTGCGAACAAGAAACTAAGAAGGGAACAAGCCCCATTATCGTACGCAACACAAATGTCAGGGTGTACGAGATGAATTTCTATCTACAGCTAGCAGCCAAAGCCTGTTACACAGTTATAATTGCTGATTTATCAGGAATTTTTCGATTTGACCCAAAGGTAATTGTTTTTTGTTTTTTTTTTATTGCTCCTTTTGCATTAGGTTAAAAGTAAGCCAGTAGGTGGAAGAGTGATATCATGTGAAAATAGAATAATTAAACATAATAGGGTGATTAAGGAGATACTTGTTTTATTGAATAGTATTACAGTTCGAGTTAATATAAAAAATAAGGCTTAGGAAATTTGATTTCCCTTCTTCGAACAGAAACACAAAATCAGTAAGTAAATAATTTCAACACGAGGCTTTATATCTTTTAAAATTTCTTGCTGAGTTTCCAACGTCAAAATATGAATTGTTTTTTTTTTTTTTTTACACGACAAATAATACTTCTTCAATAGGAACTGGAAGCACGGAACTCCAAAGGACTCTCTGCCACCTACTTAACCAGACGTATACGATCCTGGGAGGAATTATATCCAATCTACACAGGCTGGTTTGCGAGTCCGAGTGATTCTAGCGCCATCTATTGTAAAGCTACGAATATAATATCTGAGCTTAACGATGTCGATAGTGAGTTATTTTGTACTTAAATTAATGTTTTATGACTACGTGTAAACATTCCTTTTTAAGTTTCTGAAACCATCACAACGGTTTTGTCCATCTATTCCTCCACAGAGATATTCCTTTCTTCAATATATAAGTCTGTTTACTATATTTTCTAGTTCTGTCTGTCTATCTATCATATTACTTACCCAACTTCGCCTGTTTCTCTCTCTCTCTCTTTCCATATATCTAAAAGTTATGTTTATCGAATATAATCCCTGCATATTGTTTAATTAAGTATCAGTTGTATAGAGCAGCTATTATTCCTTACGAGTATTATTTTGTCGTACTATAGGTGATTTCCAATGCCCATCAGATCAGTTTCAAAGGGAATCTCAGTTCTTCTGTATGGCAGCATTCTGTGATTCGGGTAAAACGTTGAAGGCTCAGACTTACTACAACCAATACAAGGTAACATTTTAAGTCATGGCACATGTTTGTTTTCTTGTTGTTTTTTTGTGGATTTACCATGTTCCGTAAAAACTTTAAGAATCATGTCGTACATGATGATTTGTGGCTCGAGCCTTTTGTTTCATGCTAAATAAACTGGTGACTAATATGTACTGATAGGAAACATTGGTGAACTTTGTTTGGGTGTTAATCGTGAGTGCTAAGTTTTAATCTTACTGCCATTTATTTCTAAACCGAAAATTGTTCTTTTAACACTTAAAAGGTTCAAATATCCTGTGGTAGGATGTTTACGCTTCTTCTGGATGGCTTCTTGGCAACGAAAAAATTGATTCTAGGTGTGGTTCTTCTCACTTCTGATCAACAAGACCTCACTATGTCAGAGGAAGAAGAAACATCATCAGATAACGACATTACTGATAAAATAATGAAACTTTGCATTGGTGATTATCTGGAAAAATACCAAGATTATAAACTTCCATCGAATGCAGAAGCATCTTCGAAGAAAACACTGAAATGCCAAGAAAGAAGGAAGCAGTTCAAAACCAAAATTGATGACGTCAGCTTTATTATTCTTGCCCACAGGGGATCCAAAGTTTCTTTCCCTTACATTCGAAACATACGTAAAACCAGCAGATCATTTTTCTCAAACGTGATCAATAAAGAAAACCTAATAAGCGATAAACATGACAAGACGACATCTTCAGGTAGTTTTTGTAAACTGGAGGATGGAGTTTGGTTTATTCAGCCGAAAGAGACGCTTCTACTTGATACAGTTTTCACTGGAATGTATTTTTGGTAGGTTTTTAATTATATTAGAAAACAATTTCCAGTGTATTTTTTTGAGAAAAATAATTGGTGGTATTTCTATTGTACTGACCAGTACATTCGTTAACCCATAAAAGTAATAATAATATATTCGCATTTCTCACTTTAAGTAAATTTGCTTACCGTGCTTTAAGAAGTCATTAGTGTCATAAAAGTCTCTTGGAGCCTTTAGCATAATTCTCTCGACGTTTGGGAAGATAGCGGGTGAAATTTTGTTCTTCAATGTTTAAAAGCTGCTTTGTTCTTACCGCTTGGGGCTAGAAGTGCAGCTAGAGACAGAAAACACAGTACTGTAACAACAGCGTGTATTTAGGCATCCATTCCAAACCACACTTGCCATATTTTAGTTTTTCAAAACTAAGTAACACTTTTCTATCTTTGTGAGCGATACTGGTATTTTTAACCTGAACAATACTTTTTTCAAAAGGCCTTAACGTATACTTACGAGTATGTAGTACGTTGTTTTGTTTTTAAAGGTAACATTTCTTTAATTGAATGGCGACCACGTCCATAAATGAGATGTCTAACAAAAAACTCTACGCTGAAGCCCTCTAACGATGATACAGTACAATGAACAAACGTTTCTAGTGCAAGAATATTAATTCACGGCTTCAAAATATTTTCTAATGAATGAAATTAGGCAAGAATAAAAATAATCCATCAGGTCACTTCAAACTATTTATATGTACTAGCAGAGACCTGGAAAACATTTGCGGTCGAACTAGTATTTTTCTTACGACAGTAGTTCTTTAAATACAGGATTTCTAGAATAATACAAAAAGAATCCTAATCACAGACAACGAAATTATAAGTTCACATGTCTTAGACATAACATTAAGATATATTAACACTTTAAACTGTGTATGCAGGTATATTAATATTTTCTATATATGGGATACTACAAGTGATGAGGTTTGTTTTGTGGAGAGTTTTTGAGTTTGTTTAAGTGTCTCTTGTCTGTGTTTTATATTCGTTGATTCTCAGTTTTCGCCTGTCCTGAAAATGCGCGCGCTTCTTTCAACGAATGTAAACAAAAGGCGAATGTAAATATACTTTAGTAGACGTTTGTACAACAACATATTAAAAGCTTATCAAAGTTTTTAATAAGGCCTAACGTTAGGTCGTAGAATACGTTTATTTATTGATAGTATTAAGTACAGTAAAGTTTAGTCCTAACTAAACTAAACCAAAAATATCATAAATTTCTAAAAGACTAACACATAAATATAACCTTAGCATAACACCTAGATACCTTTTCACCCTTGGAATGAAAATTAAACGTTAAAAAATCATATAACAAACCCATCCCACCAGGAAGTAGTTACAAACTATAGTGTAAAAATTGCCCAACTTTTTAAAAAGGACGTAACTTGAAGATCGGGTTAAAAGAACACTAAAAATCTCCTCCCACGTCCAGGAACATATGAATATTAACACATTTTTTTTCTGAACAGAATGTCACAGTACTAAAGCGTGAACCTGACATTAACAGAAGAGACATTTGAGAAGCTTTATTAATAAAATCAAACAATCCCACAATTAACAAATACCCAAACACATCTATATATATATATATCTTTGATCGTCATTTCTAATCTGATGCAAATGTTTCATATAACAATTCCATTTTTTTATATTTATCCATTTTTTTTAATTCCGCCAAAAATAAATAATCTGTCAATCCACGCTGATTGATGTACGTGCGTAAGTAACGACTATCAATTCTACAATTCAAATACGTTGTTAAATTGCTGATTTAAATACTAAAACATTTTTTACCGTTAAAACTTGTACAGTTGAGAATGATCGAAACGTAGTACATGTTCTAAATACAAATCTTCCCTGCTGTAACTTGTAATGAAATTAACTGAGTATTATTATAATAGATAATGTTGACTTGTGTGCAGCGTTTCTTTGAGTAACTTGTTGTAAAAAGACAAAAAAAAAGGTATTATTCTTTTATCAGGTTGATTAAAGGCGTGGAACAGAAAATATTAGCATCACCTCTTTTAAAATGAAAAAAAAAGAAGAATATATATATATATATAGTGTTTCGTCGACAAATCTATTAACTTTAGGTACACCAGGATCGTTGCTGTCCTACATGGGTTATTAATGATATAAAAATGTGTCATTCTCCAGTGCATATAGTTTTAAGTATAAAATTTTACTTTCTAAATTTCATCACAAAATTTAGTTTGTGTTCGCGTAGGAGCATAAAATTCCAATGAAATACATATTTTATTACGTTTAATTAAAGAAAAATTTAACCTGTAGTATTGAATTTATAAAACTTGCCGCCTTTTTATATTTGTGTTTCAAATGTCCACGTTTAATGAAATACATTAAACTATTATAAAAACAGTAAGATAGTTAAATATGTAAATTACAGAAGTTTCTGTAGGCCTCAAACGTTTGAGAAACCAAATGGTGTTCATCGCATGTAATAATATTAAAATTTTTCTTATATTACAACTTTAAGGTGGAATTACTAACCTTTTAAATTTAAGTATTATTAATAAATGAATTTTATAATATTTCTAGCATTTCACGAGTTTATGTTTGTTTTGTTATAATTTATCCAGGTAAAAGGACGTGCCTTCAAGATACACCCAGTTTTGATTTTCGTAGAGGGCGTTGCAGATATGGATCTAATAGCAAATTTTCACACGAATAGCCTTAATAGTTAGTGAATTTCACGTTAAACATTTTAGTTTTGTTTTTGTAATACTTTCATTACTTAAAAATATTTTTGTTGTAATTTACTTTTAAATAATCCTGTGTAATTACACTTATTTGATTCTCCCCTTCATTCAGAGACTTCACCATAATCTGAACATAAGTAGTCAGCATTATTACTAGTTGAATTTTTGTATGTGTATATCTTTACCTTTAAAATTAGAATAAATTATTCTACGAGACATTTTTTTCAGTTTTATCTATCATATTTTTGTGCGCCACCAATACCAAGTGTGATGCGTGCATATACCAGATTCTATTTTATTACTCATCAGAATTATTTTATGCAGAATTAGAGTAAATTAATATACGAGACCTTGGATGGGGGCAAATACATCAATCGAAAGGGTTTGACTTCTCGAGTCCAAAACAGTAATTTGATGTCGAATCGATCTGAGCTCAAAGTTTGTACTTGAAAAACTCGGAGCCATTCTGTGAGCTGCTATACCGTGGCTAAAAATTCGTTATATTACCATACCAATTTTGGAGGTACTAGGCTTAACCAATTAAAAAAAAAAAAAATTACTTAAGGTTAATTTTTTTTTTTGCTAGCTTAGAAATAATTTATAAAAGTTTACGGTTCTATTTCCATAATTATTTAATTGTTAAATTTTAGGCCACCTGTATTTTAAACTACTAAGTTTTCAAACATTATTTCATTACTAATGTATAATATTTTATCACTGTTTGTGCAGATATTATCACCACAATGGTTGCATAATTTATATTAAAATGATTTTGCAGCTTCAACATATTATTACAGTTGATTGTCTCCATATCTGCTATTTTCTGTCTGATGAATCGATATCTTGACAATAGATCTGAAGCATGGTTTTAATTGTAAAATGTTCTTTTGTAAGGCTGTCATGGTCAAAGAACACCATTCTTCCCTCTGAATTTCCATATGCCATCTAGTGTGTATATGAAACAAAAAACAGTACCTTGCAAAAAGATTCACCCCTGCAAAGTTTTTACATTTTGTTGTTGTCTGAGCTTGCAATCATGAAACTTTCAAATTGGACTTTATATTTAGAATCTTCTCCAAATGAGAAAGCTATTAAAAACGTTGATATTATGTAAATAAGTTAGATTTTCAAAGAAAATTGGAATATTCTCAATTGCATAACTATTCAACCCCTTTACTACGGCAACCCTAAATCAGTCAGGTGCAAAATATTAGTTTGAAAGGTTACAACATTAGTGTAATGGTCTGTGTCTCTGTGGTTTAACTTGACTTCAGAATAAATGCATCTGTTCAAGCCATAGTGAACGACAAACCAACCAAGAAGACCAAGGAGCTTTCCAAACATGTCAGGATAAAGTGGTAGAGAATCACAAATCAGGAGAAAGTTACAGGAAATGTTTAAAGTCACTGATTATCCCTTTGAGTATGGTGAAGGTCATCATTAAGAAGTGGAATGTGCTTCATAGAACCCAGTCACCATCCAGATCAGGCTGCCTTTCCAAACTAAGCAGCCGGGCAAGCATGAAACTGGTAAGAGATGCCACTGTGAAGCCAACAATGACTTTGAAAGATTTGCAAAGTTCCATATCTGAGATAGGAGTCAATGTTCATGTATCGACAGTATCCTGTATGGGCAAGTAGCAAAAAAAAAAAGAAGCCATTACTGAAAAAGAATCATCTTAAATATCGTTTGGAGTTTACGACAAAATATGTAAATGATACTGCAGACATTTGGCAGAAGGTTTTGTGGTCAAACGAGACAAAAATTGAGCTTTTTGATCTAAATTCAAAGTGTTACATCTGGCACAAGCCCAACACAGCACATCACCCAGTCAACAACATCCCAACTGTCAAATGTGGTGGTAGCATCATGTTATGAGGATACTTCTCATCAACAGGTACTGGGTATCTTGTCAGGATTGAGGGAAAGATGGATGGTGCAAAGTACATGCAAATCCCAGAGGAAAACCTGCTTGAGTCAGCCAAGAAGCTAAAACTATGTCGAAAATTACATTTCAGCAGGACAATGACCAAGGCCAAAAGACAAAAGTGAATATCTCACTCGAATCCAATAGAATATTTATGGTGAGATTTGAAGACTGCAGTCCATCAATGATTCCCAACAAACTTGTCAGAATTGAAGTAATTTTGCCAGGAAGAATGGGCAAACATTACCCCATCCCATTGTGTAAAGCTGGTACAGACTTCTCCAAAAAAAGACTCACAGCAGTAATTGCTGTCAAAGGTGCTTCCACCAAATACTGACTTAGGGGGCTGAATATTTATGTAGTCAGCAAATTTCACTGACATTCAACCTCCTTTACACATAACAGTGTTAAGTTTGATCATTAGAGTTTTGAATAAAAACAAGTTCATTGAACATTATTCTTTATATTATTTGTATTTCATCAAAACGTGGCATTGTTGGTAGGAGGTGAATACTTTTTCAAAGGCACTGTGAGTTTCCAAGAAACCATTTCAACAACCCACTTACAATGAAATCCAGAGGTGCTGCATTTGACACCTTGATTGATATGTCCTCATATTGGAATAACATGAATACCCACTTAATTCTCCAGCTGGTTGAGGTATGTGATGGTTGAACAGCTATTTTGTGGAAGTATCTTATGCACACGTGACTCGTGTCGCTTTTCCAGGATTTTCTTCTCGATAATGTTGCGTACCTGTTGCTTGAGACACTTGGATGGCTTTTGCCACTGACCATGGTGTTTGTATATTCTCACCTGTTAAAAGTTACCACACTTTTCTAAACAACTACTGGGGTATGACTTATTGCACATCTGTTTCTGTATGGTCCTGATACCCCAAACTGATCCACATTCTTTTGTTTTTTAATTACATACGAGGGACATCCCCATCTTGGCAAGTGTAACTCATGATCTGAACACATTTTTATGACCAGTATATGTGAATATTTTGCATACAGAAAGAGCTGTTAAATAACTTTTCCAAATGTAATACATTTCTGGTGGCACCACACTTCCTACAAAATGTGAAAACGTAGTTCTGATACATTCCATCTAACCAAGACTATAATATCAGCTTTGATGGTCATGAAGTGTGCTAATTTTTCATATTGAGGATTGTTTTAATATGACTTACACAACCATCTGCATCATCAGATATTATTTTATCACTACTGTGTAACATATGAGGTGTATAAATATACAATGTATTTCTATTAATGGCTGGAGACGGCTTGAATGGGTAATGAAGAAAAACTTTAATATAAGTTTAACATGTACAACGTTTCGACAAGGTTTTGTCATCATCAGGTACACATGACAAAACAGAATAGTTGCATGTATAGACAGATTACATTATCAGTACTGTAGGTACAATGAGATTTAAAAAAAAAAAGTTTTATCAGTCATGAATATATATATATTGTTTGTAGGTAATTTAAAAAGTGATTCGTAGTTTGGAACTTATTTTGTAATGAAATATTAACTTACTTTCTAGAAAACCTTACGCAAACTCGACAGATGGTTTTGATAAACTTTTGTTTTAATAGATACAACACAAGTTTTATTTACAAAACTTCAAGGTGAGCTTCTCTTATAGAAGTAATAAGCAACTTTTATTGACCAGCTTCCATTAAAGTCATGAAGTATGCAAAAAAGGGGGCACAGGTGATATACAGGTATTAAAACAAATTGTTAATTACAAATGAAAATATTTGGAAAGACGTAGCTTAAATACGTCGTTTTCTAGTTTTTTTTAAAATTTTATATCATTCATATTTAGCACTTTAAACTATTATATCTAATTTGTTACAAAATAGGGGTGAGCAGAGAAGATATAAAACATTAATTATGTGGCCATTATGACTCGGGTAACACCTGTACAATCAACACAGGTTTTTCATTTTAAATCGTATTGGTATCTATGAATAGCCTTATCCTCTATGTTTTATTAGTGTATGTCAGACTTTATTATATACGTCATGTTTTTGATATTTTGTACTTAAAGGGTTGATACATAGTTTGTATTAAAATTTGTTTTTGAACATAGAGAAGAAATTTAGTATAAATATTTATGTAAAGATACTTTTCTTTCTCACAAAAACATTACATCAAAGATTTGCAGTTCTAGGTTAGCCGAGCATTTTGTAACTAGATGTTAAGTGTCCGGTTGTTTTCAGAGTCCTCCAAGAGATGGCTCTCAAGGCACAGAGATGACTATGGCTCCAGGGAATAGTGTATCTCCAAGGAATTGACAGTTTGTCAACAACAGTTAAATCTCTAACTATCAATACCATATTATGAGAAACATAGTTTATGCTACTGGCTTTATCTACAGAAGATCAACACAAGTGGTTTAGATTTTACTGTGCTTCCATTGTGTTAATGAATCTTCTGATATAATCACTTGAATTACACAAACTTCCCTTATCACAGTGGTTTCACTTTTGTTATGGCCATGTAGAGGTAAGCAGGCATTATTAAAACAAAGTTTTTAAGTAGTTTGTACATTTGTTTATTAACAGATGTTTGCGTTTATTATTATTAACTACAAATAGGTCGTTAAGCAACATCCCACTTATCTATATGAAAATAATGGCTAGTCTATTTCACGTGTTACTTGGTGTTGTATTTAACAATAGTATAAAAGCCCATCACATCACAAATTTGAACCATCCAAAATGCATTTGCGACTTTGCCACCCGTAAACAGACATAAGAAAAAATAGTAAACAGACATAAGAAAAAATACGGGGTTTTTCTAGCTTCAAGAAACCAAAACCTATCATCAGTAATATCTATTTCATCTAAAGATTGTCTCTTCCCAACATGATCACAGTTATTTTATAATCACATCAGTTTCATTACTGCAATAGTTCCATTAAAACCACATTTATTGTAAAAACCCGATCATCGAAGAATTACTGACTATAAGACTATCTAGTGCAATAATTAATTACAACCTACCTTCACATGTATCTGATTCTTTAGTGTGAAATATGTCTTTGGTAAGTGAGAGAAAAAGAAACCTTAAAAACAACTGCTAGAAAGTACAAGTGTGAAGGCATTGTTACCTGACTGTGCTACTAAATATTGTAGTGTGAATAAACGAGGTTTAAAAGCACGTACCTGGTAAGTTAAGAAAGAAAGTGATAAACTTGATTGAACATATAAAATGTTAAACTTTTAGTAACCCCTTTCTTTCTTTATTTTTATAGCAGTGTTAAAGTTAACTGGA